TTTTAACTTATATTATTAAAATATAAATTAAAAAAACCTTTTATGTTTTTTTACTATATTAAAATACCAAAAATCTTACCAATACAACTACAGTGCAAGCTCCCCTAAGATTTAGAATTTTAAGTAGGAAAACGATTTTGTGTGAAACTCAAAATATTATTTATATTTATTTATTTAATAATACATAAAAATTTAAAAAAAAATTTATGAGCCTATATTATTCTTTAAAGTATAAATAAAATATAGATTTATCTAATTTATACAAAAAAGATAAGTGAAGAGTATAATAAATATATTTTTATTTACATAAAAAATTATAAAAATTAATATATATTTTAACATTATTAATATGTGAATGACTTTAAATGATTAATTAATTAAATTAAAATTAATATTTATATTTTAATAAAAATTAACTAAAAATATGCTTATTATATCTTTATTTAAACATAAGATAAAAAACCTGCAAAATATCAATCCTTTCATGTTACATAGCCATATATATCGAACTTTATCAAGCGGTTCAATGACTGCGCGTTTTATTGAGGTCGATGAACTGTTCACCCGATCTGAGAATCGAATCCTCAGTTACTAACATCTAACAATACTAATATACTAACCATTACTTTTATAAAAATAAAAAATAAAAAAGAAAGAAAGAAAGATAGCCACATATATCAGATGTACATGGACTGAGACGCACCACCGACCACACTGTCTGTGATAATAAAATATTCCACGAACCCTGCCCCCACCACCCTTTAATCTAATCTCTAGTTTCCATCACTGTTTCACAGTGATGTTGAGAGAAGCTAATAATTTCTCACCCCACACCCTTCTCTTACATATGCTGGCTCTAACTCCTTCCACCTTCCCATAAGCAAATCAAAATCCTAAACTACAGTGCATTAATTTAGTTATTATTGTTAAAAATATTCAAGGCCGATGAACTGTATTACGGGATAAGTGAGAGATATATCTCTCTTTCACAATACAAATTTAAAATCTAAAATTTTGTATTTTTGTCTGAAAGAAAATTATTGTCGAGTAAAATTAACTTTTACTATTGGACCAAACAATTAAGCAAGTTTCAAAAAAATGAAAAAGACCAATCTTGCATTCGAGTACATTATTATCTAGGTCAAGTCCAACCACATCTTCAGCATGTGATCTTGGTGACTTTACCATGTGGCCAAGATTGACGGTTTCCTTATTTTTTTGTTCCGAAAAAAAAAATGCAAAAATGAAAAAAATGAAAAAAATGAAAAAAAATGCAAAAATGCAAAAATGCAAAAAAAAAAACCTTAACTGCATAATAGAGAAGCTGATATATATGCTTACTTGATTTGATGCATTCTCGCAATAAATATTCTGCCTAATCACTTTGAGTGTACTGAAGAAATTTTCGAATCACTATTTGATCTAAAACTCACACTAATTTTTAAAGAAACAAAACAAAAGGTTGAAAGTAATTTCGAGTTTTGTTTAGAGGCGTAGAGTTGAACTGGGGAAGGAAAATAAAAGTGAATTGGCCAAAATAAAAAATAAAGAGATCCCTTTTTAAAAGGCTTAA